TATTGTTATTATCCTATATTATTATTAGCTTTATTTAGTATTTAGTATTGTTAACCAAAAAGGGAAACTTGTAAAAAAGCGTGCTTGATGCTTGACGCTTGACGCTTGACGCTTAACGCTTAACACTTAATGCTTAACGCTTAACACTTAACACTTAATGCTTAACGCTTGACGCTTGACACTCGACACTCGACGCTTGACGCTTGACGCTCGACGCTTGACACTTGACGCTCGACGCTTAACGCTTGACACTTCTCGGCGACGCTTAGCACTAAGTGTTGACACTTTACCTAACGGATATAAAAACCCTACTAATTCCCCCAAGTCAAGCAAGTTCTAACAAATGCGAAATCCCCTATAACTTAGACAAGTTATATTCCTCTTCCCCCTTAGATTAGTTACCTTTATAAAGGATTCCTTTAGGCACAGAAACCTATCAGATAGCCTTATCTTATCTTAATAAATAAAGTTATATTTTATCTATAAAACTCTTGCCTCCGTCACGAACTGCCTTAGAGAAGGGTGTAGTTTCTTAATAGAACAAGGAATTACACTTCTCTCTTGGACACCGCTATAAACCTGTAAAGGATCCCTGTAGCCGTGTCGTTGTTATAGTAGCGAGTTCAAGAAGGCCTCTCTACTGTAACATTACCTTCAAAATTGTATCTATAAATTCAATAATTAACTTATTGCCAAGTTAATATAGCTGCTTACAAACCATAACAAATTATTTAGGCTCACAAGATAGATCACATTATCCTTTTATTTTTTAGCACAAGTCTAGCTAGTACTAGCAAATTATATATAGGGCCTTTGTCTTAAAAATAACCTTATAGCACTATGTAGATTTTATGAATAAAAATTAAATTTCTAGCTATCTAGTAATCCAATTTAAATAAACTTTTTTTTATTTTGTAGAGCTTAGTGAGTTCTACAAAATAAAAAAAAAAAATTATTTGAATTAGATTATTAGATAGCTAGAAATTTTAATTTTTATTTATAAAATCTACATAGTTCTATAAGATCATTTTTAGAGCAAAGACCCCATATAATATATATTTTGTTAGATTATTTTCAAAAATCTAATTAAAACTGTTTTCTTATAGCTCCAACTAAAATTGCTACCCAAAATATCAGTAGTGCTACTATCCACTTTACTCTATGAATTATTCATAATGAATTTGGCTTCTATATACTTATATTCAGAGATCCTAGCTATATGAATTCTCTCTCCCTAATAAACACTATTATTATTGATGAAATTTTAATAGTATCAGATCAACTTCTAATTTTTATCTCAGAATTATTTAAATTATTGCATAAGAACAATTACTTATTTGAAAAAATTAACATCATTTTAGTCAGTAATTTAGCACAACTACTTTCAATTAGCAATTCTTCTGTTTACTAATCATCTTTGTAAAAACTTTTTTATCTATTATTTTTTTTTGACCTTAAAAACAAATTGAAGATATAGAATTTTACAATCTTCTACAAAAAATTAAACTAGAAAACATCAATAACCAAATGTAAAATATATTACTACAAAAACAATCTATATTGATTTTTTTTAATTCATATACAAACTTAAACACAACATATATTATAGATTACTAAGAAAATGCTAATACGATTAATAAAATAATATGTACAATGCTTTCTATTTAAGAAAATAAATTTATAATTTCTAATTGCATTGATACTATTAACAACTATATTTGTAATAATGATTTAAGACAACATAATTTTAAAGACAACCAAATTTATCTAGAATACTTAGAATTTAACTTGATACAAAAATTATATTTTTAAACAATTTGCAAAGTCATCATCATATAGCCAACAGTACTATAGATATTATAACAAACCTCAACCTGAAAACAGGTATTATTTGTATTAGTTTCTGTATCAAAAGTACTATTATAAATACTTTTTTTTCTAAAATCACTACCAACTTTGATAATGATAGCTTATCTGCATGCCATATTTAATATTCTATACAAAATGCTTTTGTATTAACAGTCTATAAAACACAAGGTTTAACACTTCCAGATATATCTTTAAACTTAAACAATTAGATATTCGAATCTGTTTAAGCTTACATGACTCTAAGTTGTTGCATTAAATAGAGCAATGTAAAGATACAATTCTTAAATCATGCTATATTTATAACGAGCTCTTCCATGATCAAAGAATATAATCAATTAGATCTTATAGCTCATAAACCACTATTACTAAACTCTATTATACACAATTTAACTTAATTTCTTACTTCATCAATCTACAAAAAATATCATAATTCCCAAAACAAGAATTACTCTACTCCAATATATTGTTTCTAATATATTTCTTCTATCCTTACCTATTATTTTTTACTTTACTATTATATAAAAAATATATATATATTAATACTACAATATTACTTGTAATAAAAAATTATTATTAAAAAACACATACTATAATTAATCAATAAAAAACCAAATATTTATCAAAAACTTCAAATGTATACAAACCACTTTTTTTTTGTTTTTTGTTTTTTTTATTTTTATTATTTTTATATAAAAAATCAAACAATACAATAAAAACAATAAAACACTTGTTTTATAATCTTTATAATAAATAAAATTCTTTTATTTTTACAAATATATTATTTATATTACTAAGCATATAATATCATTTTCAATTAAACTAATTCACAACTATTTCTGCTAATCCTTTGTACCAAAACAGACAATAAGAAAATTATACAAGTAAAGCAAAATCTAGTATAGTTATTAGCTTAAATACTTTTAAGTAAAACTAAAGAGCTCTTAAAATAAACAATAGTTTTCTAGAAGGACAAATTCTTTAGACAAAGTGAAACAAGCTAAAATAAGCTAAAACCAAGTTTTGCAGAACTTCACACTTCATTTTAAAAAATTTTGGGGAGTACTCTAGACCCTGTAAGGTAGATCTGTTTACAATTATACAAATAAACAAGTAAACAAACAATTACGCATTTAGTAGCTTAAGTAAACAAACAACAATAAAATAGCAAATACATGTTCTAATTTAGACAGGAAAACAAATAAATAATTATAAAACAAAACAAATAATTAGACAAGCACTCAATGTATACACTACTAGAGTTAATACAAAATTAATTCAACATCTACAGTTCAAATAAAGCAGTCTAAAATATGAAATTAGTAGCACTCAAAGGATTAGCATTAGCTTCACAAACTAAGCAGCAAGAAATTTATAGAAAATACAGCTTTCTCACACTTAAAATAGACAAAAATATAGCAAAATATCTAGGATATGAAAATCCAGAGTTTATAACAGCAATATATAGTGCAATAGATAGTTACAAATGGGCTGAAACCCAAAAAGATCAAGGCAAAGAGCTCTCAATAGAGGAGTATATTTTACTAGGAAATATATCAGAGATTACAACAAAAGCAAAATTAAACAAATAAAAAGAAATAGTACCAGAATGCCAAACTAGTCAAACTAGTAACTTAAAAATAGTAGTTGATATCACAGAAAACCTCAAATGGAAAAGAGAAGAGGATGTGATAGATAACTGTGGTGCAAGAAAAAAAGAAAAAAACATCAAGATCAGATTAACTAAAATGATTTTAAATAAAAGTGAGGTTGATATTCTAACAGAGAATAAAACAACAAACATGAAAGAGAAAATGTCACTCCTATATACTGAATATGAACAACCAGACTATGGTATACAAGTAGTAAAAGACTGGATTCCACTAGTAAAGAAAAAAAAACTTCTTGACAAAAAAAAAAAAATATTAGGCCTAGATTCAAAAGAAGATATTTATAGTTCTATTTGGATACCAAAGAACAATATGAACTATATAGGCTCTATAATAAATGGTAAAGAAAGAATAAATAAAAAAAGAAAAGAACTTGATTTATATTTCACTATATGAAACCTCTTCAATTTAACAAATGTGGCAAGAGTTATAAGATATCTGAAGTATTATAGCAAAATAGAGGTTCTGGAGTAACAACAACTAGAAAATCTAAAGCTACATATATTAAAATTAAATATAAGAATGATATGCAAAGGTATAAACTCCAAAATATCTAGACCATACATTTTGAAGAAGAAAAGACAAGTAGACTTACAGCAGATAAATTTGTAGTAGAAGAACTAATTAAAAAGAAAGAGTTTAGACTTAAACTCAAGAAAGTCCTATATAGAGCATCAGAGGTACTTCTTTTCATTAGCTTAGAAACTTTAATGTTAAAATGATCTGTATTCCTAAAAGTAATCAGGGCAAGCAAAGAAGTATAGCTTTCATATATTTCGAATCATTAGAGAATCTATTAAAGGCAAAAGTATCAATTCCAAGATATTTTAATAACAAGTTAAAATGAGGTAAAAATAAGCAATATATCTTACCCAACAGATCTACTAAGAAAGATTACGCATAGAGAATAAATAACAGAAATGAACATAACCTGCATTCAACACAACCAAAGTTGTATCATAGTCAAAAGTACAAAAAAAAAAATTCAAGTAGAAGTTCAAGCAACAGCATCTCAGTTAGTAGAGACTCTAGTAATTCCAGATCATGTAGTTATATGAGAAAGCCATTAATTAGAATAGAAAATTTAACTGCAGAGAGCTACAAACTCTAGGCAGTAGAATATGTAACCGGTTTAAATAAAGAAGCTTTAGGCAAAAGAAAAGATAAACAAAAAGAAGCAAGTATTGATAAATGTATTGAGAAAATCCTCACAAAAATGCAAAAAAAATTTAAAACAATAGAACAATTACTCTTAAGATGCTTCTAAATTCATACCAGTTGAATTACAGATAAAAGAGTTGAAAGATACTCTAGAAATAGTGAAACGAGGACAAAATACTATAGTAGATAAGAGCGCTGTGCAAGTTATACTCTTGCAGCAACAAACTATACAAAAATATCAATTTAAAAATTTAAAGTTAAAGTTAGCAGTACATAATATCAATGGTCTCAAAACTAATAGCCAAAAATTAATTACATTATCATCTTGTGTACTAAACAAAAACATAGAGGTTTTCAGAGTAACAGAAATGAATATATTTGATAAAGAGGGGTATTTTTTAACTAAGAGTTGCAAAGAGTTTATAGGTTTCTGAATGATGCAAATGATATGAAGAAAAAAAGTTCAGGAATAGGTTTGCTAATTAGAAAGAATATCGGTATATATGCAGAGAAAATCATAAGACATAATAAATATTTATTAGAGGTGCACTTGTTCTATAAAAAGATTGATCTAGTAATACTTACACTTTATCTACCCCCAAATAACAAAGAACAAATCAAGTTAATTCAACAACAAGTCATACAAATATACTTAACTAGATCAAAAAAAGCACATGTGATTATAATAGGAGATTTTAACTTTGTTGTAAACAAAAACTTAAACAAAGTTTCAAACACAACAAACTTTGCCCACAAGTATCTAGCTTTGCACAAATAGCTTTAAAATCAAGGCTTTAAGGATGTATACAGATTATTAAACCCTAGTATAAAAAATTTACCTGGTTAAATAATAAAATATATTCAAGAATAGACCAAATCTGGGCAAAATCAAATCTAGAAAGCATGCTTAGTAAAGCAAAAAATTTACAATATGAAGTTGGTAACAGGTAGTGACCACAACACCCTAGCTATAGAAATCAGTCTAGCAAACAAAGCTCTAGAAGCCTTAAGCAAGTCAAGTTAAAACAAAAATAATAGGTTTATTTGATTTCTCTACGATAAAGCCTTCGAAAAAAACTGAACAAATTACAAAGAAGATCTAAAGAATTTCTTAAAGAAGAAACCTAGTCTCCAAGTATTGGATAACTTTAAAGTGAAAAATATTCAAAAACTTAAAGATTTAAAAGTTCTTGATAAAACATGGCAATCAATTGAGAATGACATTCTATACGCAGCCAAGCAAAACATTCCTTTTAAAAAAATTAAACCTGCTTCAGGAAGGAATAGCAATTGTATAGAAAACAAAACTGATTTACTTTACAAAAGAGATATACTAATAGTTAGCAAAATCTATAAAAGTCTTAAGAAATTTAGAGATATTCTAAAGCAAGGTCATGTAGAGTCACAAATTGCCAATTATAACTAATTTCTACAAGAAATTAGTAAATAACATAAGGTAGAAATTCGAATACATAATGAGAACTCAATAGAAGAAACTCTATCAGATATTAAAGGCTGGTAGTTTATACTAAACAAACATTAGCAGCAAGAAAAAGATAAGTTTAAGTTAAAGTCAATAGAGAAGGCAATAAGCAAATAATATGAAATGATACAGAATAATCAAAGAAAAATAATCCAAAGCTTACTGGATAAACCCTTTAGTAAAATAACAATAGATAGGATTCTGGAGCACAATTCAAATAAATATAGCTTAACAACAAATACAAATAATATACTAAAGATAACACAACAGCACTTTTAAAAGCAGTATATAAAATGCAATACAAAACTAAAGCAAATGCCAAGGAGCTGGTTAAAAGTTTATGCACTACTCAAAGAGGTAGAAACGAGCTAGTATTGTCTTTTGAAGAAAGAAATAACATCTGAAAAATAGAGTTTAATATTAGGAGAGCTCAAAAACAATACAGCTCCAGAGAGATCAAGTATTAAGTACACATCAATTAAAAATGCATGTCTTGAAACTCAAGACAAATTTAGAAGATTAGCTGATCTCTGTCTCTATATAGGAGACATACTACAATGCTAGAAAAAGGTACAGCTATACTCAATCCTAAAAAACAGCACTTGGGATTATAGCTTAAACACAATAAGACCTATTGCTTTATTAGAAACTTTTTGCAAGTGTATTACTAAGATTTTAACCAAAAGATTAACAAAAATTTTAGTCAAAAGAGAGATTTTAAAAAGACCAAATTTTGCAGGGCTAGCAGAGAAATCAACAGTTGCTCTGATATATTTGTTAAACAATATCATTGAAGATGCAAAAGACCAAAAGAAAGAATTGTAGTTACTATTCTAAGACATGAAAAAAGCTTTCAACTCAGTCCCACTTGCCTCCTTATTACTAGCATTAAAGTGTATTAAAGTCCTAGAAAGAATAAATGCATTTATTACAAATCTGTTTACACAAAGGAAAATGAGAGTAATTACACCTTATGAATATACAGAAAAGATCATGGCATATGATAGAATAGATCAAGGTAAGGTGCTTTCTCCTTTGATTTGGAGAATTTTTTATGACCCTCTTTTGTGCAAAGTTCAAAACTCCAAAAAACTAAGATTTGAAATTAAGCTAGAAGAATTAGCAGATATTTTTGCACCAAAGTCTGAAGTATCAGTAGTAAGACAAGCTGTAATAGCTTATGCAGATGATATTACTTGGATAGCAAATAATAAAAAAGATCTAGACAAAATATTAGAAATAGTAGAAGAATTTTATATACTAAATGATATTAGTATTAATACGACAAAGTCCAAGCTAGTTGTTTTAAACTCAGAAAATTTGGTGAGAAGTAAATCAGTTGAGTTTATAGAAGCAAAAATTAAAGCCAAGAAAAGCAGATCATTAATTAGATTCCTTGGTATCTGGTTAAGTGGAAAAGCACAAGACATATTAATCAAAAATAAGTGTAAAAGCATAGTCAAACAATTTACCAAATCTCTTAGCAACAAAAGATTAACGAATAGTCAACTTACTTATATTAACAACATATGTTTAATTCCTAAATTAAGTTATATTCTGCAAACAACTAAGCTACCGAGAAGTGCTCTTGAAGAGATTTAGCGTCCAATAATTAAATTAATTAAAAACAAGGCAGATCTTTCAAGAACAATTAGTAATCATCTAATTTCACATAGAAATATTAGAAACTGCAAGTTGCTATAGCAAGGGATACTAGTATGTCAAATCACAGATTTGCAAAACAGATTTAACAAATCAGAAGCTGACAATGCATCAACGCTAATAAGAATCAAACAAAGGTGCCAACTAGCAGAACTTACTACAAACCCATAGCAAGAGATCCTAACGACAAAAGATTTAAGAATATGGCAAATCAATCTCAATTGCCAAATTTTTTATAAAGCAAAAGAACTTAATATAGAAATAAAAACAGCACAAGATCTTTGGTGAATTCATAGTTTTGGTTCACGGTTTAGGGACATACTTATAGTAAAAGTCTTTTTGAAAAATACTAAGAGTTTGAGAAATCTGGGTATTGTTTACCTTAACCAACTCATTAATACTAAAGGTAACAAATATTCAATTGCTTTGTATCAGCTTGCTACTTTGCTCTTACTAACTTTTCTTCTAATTAGTTTAGTTTGCTACTATGTATGTAATTTAATACTAGTTAACAAGAAAGAAAAATTAATTAAATCAGAATTTTAAATACCTAGCTATAACACAATGGCCTTGCTACTTCCCAAATGCCAAATTAAAAAAGACAAAAGAACCAAAGAATAGATTTTTGCAAGTGTGAATAAAGAAAATCTAGGCTTAGATCAAAAAAACTCTTTCCGGTTTACCCCCAGAATTTATCAAAAAACAAAATTTTAACAAAAAACAACCAGGCTTTTTACAAAAACTCCAAAGTCGATAGGGCCAAAGCTCTTATTCCGAAAAAAAGGAAACTTGTCCTAACAAATATGGCAAATACCAAAACAAAAAAGCTAAACTCTCTGGTCCAAAAGAGAAAATTTTTATTTTTTCTTCGGAAGAAGTGAAAAATACAAGAGTAGCAGCAACTACAGAGGAAGTCAATAATGCTAAAAGTAGTCCAGAACTAGATAACCAAACTGTTATCTTAAACAGCAACTCCTCTATTAACTAGGCAAATGATACTGAGAAAGAACTACAAAGCCGCGTCACTGAGGAAACTACTCTCCTAAAGCATACAAACCCATGGGTAGACTCAGAAGAAACAACAAACACGTCACATCTTGAAAACAACAACAATACCAAGGAACACGTGTTGAGTGAAAACAACAACAATTACACACATGATGAGTACCAAGCCACCAACTCAGGATCTGAAGCTATAGACCCAGAACCGCAGCCACATGATCAAGCAGATAAAGCTAAGAACAAAACTTCTAACTCGGGAAAGTCTATACAATGGTCTAACTTATTTCCTAAGCTCAAAGGAGAAAAAGCAGTATTCTCTAAAGCATCCCCAAGACAGAGAATACATACCAAAAATGAAAATGCTCTGATTTTAGATATACGAAGCCTAATTAATATTAGTACTAACAACATCGTAGCAGCTTTAGCTGCAAAGCTAGAAAGCAATCTTCTCGTAGCAAAGGCATATATAACAAAGGGAAAAAGATTTTTCTTAGAAATTATTTTAAAAGACAAAGAGAAAGTACAACAATATGCCTCTGAGGGTATTAGCCTATTCAAACAAACTCTTTTTAGTTATATTCCAGTTAATATCAGAAGGTCCTTCCTTACAGTTAAGCTTCGGGGCACCCCAATAGGTGATGCAGACACAATAGGAGACTTTATTCTAGAAGCATTTAAAGATATAAGACAAGTAGTCTCAATAAAGCCACTTTTCTTTAAAGATACTACAGTGTGCTTAGACCAATGGTTGGTAACTTTCAAAACCTCTGAGGATACTAAACTAGCAACTAGACTTCCCAGAAGTACACATATTAATGATCACAAAGTCTCTATAAACTGGAAAGAAGCCCTGAAAGTCTACTTTTTCTGTGAGAAGAAAGGACATATCAAAAAAGATTGTGAAGAACTGAAAGCTTCTATCAGAGTTAGACAAGAACTTAAGGAAGCCAGAGCCCAACTAAGGCAATTGACTACCCAAAAACTATTTTTCATAGATCCAAAAATTAGTGAAGACAACTCTTACACTAAGTCAGGTATTAAGAAGATAGAAATAAAGACAAACTCAATTTCTAGCAGAAGTTCTACTCCAGTGCCAGAAACTCTTAATAAAACTAGTAATGATACAGAAACTTCAGTATATAAAATAATTATTGAGTCTACAGTAAAGAACACAACAGATATACCAAACGAAACTACGCCTAAAGCTATTCTTCCAAACAATAATAGCATGACAGAATTAGAGGATCAAGACCCTAAAGACCCTCTATTTACTACAGTAGTCTCAAAAAAACAAAAACTCAAGAATAAGAAAAAATGTTTTGGTGATAGCTATTACCCCTATAGAGGATCAGAAGGTTTGTAAAAAAGTGGACCCAGAACTAAACACTAAAAAAAAGAAGTTAATTAGTGTAGCACAAACTCCCAAATTTATTTCACATGTTTAAGATCGCTACACTCAACATAAAAGGTCTAAATAACAGATCTAAGGCACAAAATACTCTCACTCTTTTAAAATCCTATAATTTAGACAGTATAATGCTACAAGAAACTAATTTAAAAGACTCTAAAATAAGAAATTTCCTGGCACAACAATGGGGCTTTGACTCATTCTGGTCATCAAAAACTGCTATATTAGCAGGCAACAAAAATATCAAATTTTTTGACACTAAAGAATCATA